ACAGTCAATGCGAAAACGAAAGTGCTAAAGTAACAGAAATCACTTTTCTTCAACAACCTAGCCGTCCCCGGCAACGGCGCCAAAAACTTGACTCACTCCTACTGTCACTCTAGAAAATGGCCAAGTGAAACCACTTCCTAAAGCGTAGTATAGCGGGTTTGGGTTTTAATGTCAACCCGGGTCCTAGATTTGATGACTACTTAGTGAATTCTTGTTATCTAGCAATGAAACTTTAGTGCAGGTCTAAACTAACAAACAAGCAAGGCAACTAAACGGTTGTTTTCAGGTTAAGAGAGGTCACCCGGATATGGTTCCCCCTAGACTGCAGTTAAGCCGGATTGCAATTACCAAGTTCAGTTTCTATGATAGTTATACTGCGGAAGGTTCTTAAGCAGTCTGAAGTCTTGACTAAAGGTCTCCAGACCCTCTCAATTTGAGTCTCTAGCGGGCGACTAACCTCCACCGGAGTAAACAGATTGAGGCCCTAACGAACAAAACCTCCACTACCGAAGTGAATTCGGTACAGAATAGTGAGTTGGCTCCTCGACTAAAGTCACCAACTCCCTACCTTCAATCAATGATGCTCTATCAACCTAGGCAGATATTCTCATTCTAGGTTAAAGCAGAAACAACAGGAATGTGATCAGGATTCATGCCATTCAATCATTCAAACCTCAATTGAATATAATCAGATCATAGAATCAGTACTTGGGTTCATACAATCAAACCTAACATACAAATCTAGGGTTCTCCATACCCAGATGAATGGGAGAACTACTCCATGGAGAAAGAAGCAAAAGCAGAATCAGACGCGGAAATCATAGTGTGAAGAATGGATTTCTGCTCCGGGACGTTGATCGGCACTTCTCCAAGCTCAAGCCGGGCTCCAATGGTGATGAAGATCAAGCTATGGCACTTGGGAACTCTTGTTCGTCGCTTTCTCTCTCTAGGAATCGCTCTCTCTCTCTCTCTCTCCAAAACTCGAATCCCTTGATCTTTGGCCTTCTTTTCCTTTAAAACTACTGCCTGTCGCGATACCCGGTCGAAATACCCGGTCGGGTATTTTGGGTCTCGACCGGGTATTATTAAAACGCGCGTTTCGTGCCAGGGGAAAATCCCCGGTCATATCCAATAATCCCCGACCAGGGATTTAAGCTTCACGCCCGGGCCCCCTCTGTTTCTCACGGGTGCCAAAACAATAAATACCCGGTCGGGTATTTGAGCCCCCGACCGGGTATTTTCCTCCTGCAGCACACTTCGACCCAACTCGCTCCTTTCGACCCAAAACTCGTTTCCTCGCCTCGATTCCAACGTCGGTCCTGAAATATGACATAAACACACAACCTCGCGTGAAATCGGCTTAAACACGAGAGTCAACCTCTCAAACGGCTCAAGAATAGGGGTAAAAACATGTGTAATTATTGATCTATCAGTACCTAACATTTTATACAAGGGAGAAGCTAGAATTTGATGTTTGGAGGCTGGAATTTCGTTAGTATAATATTGTGAAAAGTTTAAAATTTTAAAATAAATAAATTATTTAAAAATTATAGTATAATAATCGTATAAACATTCTTTGAGATGACTAAAATTATTTTTTATATTATAATATTTATTTGTATATTTTAATAAATAAATTTAATAATTGCATAAAGTATTTTTTGAAATGATTAAGATCACTCAAAATAGAAGTTAAACTATCAATTTTTTCACATTAGATTTAATATGAAATAGAAAATTATAAAAGTAAGGTAACAATAAATTGTGTAGCAAATTCTATTTTTATAACTAAAAATAAATGTATGCCAAATTAGAGATCAAATATAATAAAAATACCAAACTGTAAGAAGAAAATGCTAAATAAAATGTTAAATGAGATGGAAGTACAAAACTGTAATGGAAAAATGTTATATACAAAAATAAATGAAATCAAAATACAAAACGGTAATTCAAGTAGAAATTTAAAGAAGCAAAAGTACAATGCAGTAATGTCCACTGTGGGTGGGAATCAAACCTAGAAATACAAGGTTATTAAAAATGACCTGAACCATTAGGCTAAGTTAGATAACTGATTACTTGTTTTCACTCTCAATGATTTTATACTAACATTTTTTTAATATGTAAAATACCCAACCATTTATATCGTTACTTTCGAAATTCTAGGGGGGCGAATGTAGCTCTGCCCCTGGTTTTATATATAACACCATGAATACTTCACTGTTAGCTAGTTTTCATCAATGGGGGCCAAACTAGGTCTCCTCCAGGAAGGAGGCTGTTTTTTCATCCCTTTGAGACGGCCGGTGCAATTTATCAACCTTTAGATATAAAAAACTGTATAGCATATGTTTAAATGATCGTCCAGAGAGGAAATATTGGCAAAGTGCACATAATTATAGATTGGCTTTAAATAAGTCCGGATACATACTATAGATATCCTCCAACCATTCTAATTATTGAGATTATATAATTTTTTATATAGTATCAGATGTGTCATTAACCATTTGATCCTTATGGGTGGATTTTGGATATCAAAGGCTAACAAGGGATTAGGAGAGAAAGCTACACCCTTGAATCCTTGATTGTAATCTCTTTTATTTACCCCAATTTTTATAGTGGCGAGGAGTCTAAACTTAGTGTTTAGTATACTGCGCAAATTTCCTTATAATTTAAGTTGGATTGGTTTTTACTACTTATATTGAAGGGTCACACTGGTGCACTCCTGGAGTATACCATATTCTAGGCACTACTTGTGAGATATTTCTATTCACACCATGAATTAAATCGTGTTTTCGGTTTTATATTATACTCTAACCTCTAATAGATAAATCCTAGGCCCCGATTCTCTAAATTCAAACCCGAAGTTCAGTTTAAAAGAAAACAATAATTGATGATTAAGATTGGTCGGAGTTTAACATAGTACATCTAACGATCGAGGAGATCACCTAAAGTATACTATACTCGTGAAATATATTAGTCTTTACCCTTATTTAAATAGCATGCGATTATAAATGTTTTGTGTTATAGTTTTTAGGTTGATGTCGAAATCAAGTAGCTAGCTCATAAGCATCTTACACACGTCTAATAGTTGATTGAACACGACAGTGTAAGAGAGAGTTATGGGGATACCATTTTCAATCTTACATGGTTGAGTACTCGGATAACTTTACTAAGTGTAGTCAATCAATCAACGAGTTAGAATGTATTAATTCTTGAAAGAGATCGATAATGTAACCTTAGTAATAAGCTCGATTATGAAATTATAAATTGAATCGATGCCAAAAACTCAGATTTAGGTGAATAGAGTACTATTTAGATTCAAATGTTTCCAACTATATATTTCCCCTTTTTAACCGTACTCAAGCGTTTTTGTCTCCTAAAACTTTGACCCGCACGATCTTCTTAATATAATTAAGGACGATCGATGTGGTAAACTTATTCGGGAAACACAGATATCACACCCTTGATACATGTGACAAATAAATTTATACCATCATATATCTCAAACTCTAAATATTAAATACCACCCCAATTAATTAAACAAAATATATTTAATTTGACGGTCATTTCCGGGTGGGTCTTCAAGACTCTACTTTTTTTACTTCAAGTCCATTAGTTCCGATTTCTACTACTCGTAGAAAGTGATTCAATAGCAAGGATTGAAACATACCAAGGTACTAGACAAAAAGACATCAAATATATAAAAAGACACATAGAGCTATTAAATGAACATCTAATTAAGCAGATATTAAATAATTCTAAGTCAAAATGAGTATATATGCATAAATGATGTAAAACATGCTATAAAACAACGTGATAAAAACGCTATTTTATATGTCATAAGATATAAATAGCAAAAAGGGACCTAAATCTAAAACCAATTTTTTTTTACAAAAGCTAATTGATATTGTATAATCCATCATTTTTGTTGATTATAGGTGTGACCTACACAAAACAATAGAAGCATTATACAATTTTATATTTTCAAATACTGTATTGTGGATAATGCATGCATGTATTCAATAAATACAACCCTTATAAGAGCAACTTTCAAACGATCACTTAGTCGAGATTGTTTTCATCATAAAAATTAAGTACCAAAATATATTTTTTGAATAATATTTTTCGTTGAAAATCAAAGTTTAGGTGCTAAATCGTAAAATATAAAATGTAAATGTACAAAACTATAATTTTCGAGAAATCCAAAAAATTTCCAATCCGTTTGAATCTGGATGGATTAGTTAGTTTTAGTTGATGAGTTGGTGGATTAGATTCAAATTGTCACCTCCAACTAGTTTGAATGACATTAGCAACATGCTTTTCCAACCTTTCTTCTTAATAACTAAGCCCTTGTTGGCGGAGGCAGAATTTGAAACTATCCTTGTCTTTTTCTCAAAATATAAATATATAATTGATAAAAATAACAATTAAATAATTCATTCATAGATAAATAAATAACCGACTAATACAATTATGGTTTGCATAAACAACCATGACGATTTTCATATTCTGAAAGAAATGCAAAAAAATATTCGTTGTTACACTCTTAAGTAATTAAGTCTCTTTCGAGGTATATCCAATCAAACAATCATTAACAAACCGATCCTCAATTCGACTTCGAAACTTGTTCTTAATATAGTTCAAGCTAAGAATGCTCTTACTACACTTACAATTGCAACTGATAAACTCGAAACTAATTTCATAAGCAAATAAACTAACGTATATTAATACTGATGCACTTTAGTCTCCACCATTACTCGAGATAATTCATCATATCGACACCAGTCGACACAACTCAGTTCAGTTTGCCCTCTCACTGTCACTGCCGCTATTTTGCGCATTAAACGTATCACCAATTTCTGGCGACACCAGCCAACGCACAAACATAGTACGTAGGCGAACACAACAACGTAACCGTGGCGATTTACGCATGGATCAGGAATATTTGCCGAATTCGTCAAGTATAAATATATATATAGCAGAATAATAAGGTGGTGCATGCATAGCAAAAAAGTAAGCACGAAAAAATGAGGTCACCGGTTCTGTTAGTCATCATCATGTCGCTGAGAAATATCCAACCGGCGTCGGCTGCCGTTAGCTGCTCTTGCAACTTCCAGTATTTCCCCTACGGCGACCAGAGGATCATGTGCGTTTATCATCTGATCGACAAAATGGTCGGGGATTCGCTTCCGGTGAGGAAGGGCGCGTGGTACCAGGATGAGGACTGTGTCGATAGCTCGATTATCTACGAAGCTAAAGATGTCCTCCAGAATACGTACTGCCATCGCCGCATGGGAGGCCGCGCGTGGGGCACTGGCTGTTACATGAGGTTTGAGATCTACCCGTTTAATTAATGTCGAATAAATGATGATGTGTTTTCTCTTAGCTTTTTTTTTTCTTTTGGTCCATTGTTAGCATGGCGTGACGCGTTATGTAATAAAATGCTTGTAACGGCTGAAGATGAATGATAATAATAAAATAATAAAAGAAGTATTTGATCGAGAATTAACGGCTAATATTAACTGATTATGCATGCATGTATGCTTTCTTTGGTTCATGTACTTCAAATAATTAATGGTTGACCCTGTTAAGAATCCGTTGATTTCAATAATTCGAGTTGTTGGGAGAGGCTCAGTCATGAATTATATATCGTTTACGTACTAATAACACACTCTCAAACTCAAGCCATGCACTCAGATAGGCTCGGAGTTTGCAAAGGCACAGGTCCGGATACCATGTGGTTAACAGAAACACATGCGGTCATTGGGATTCGAACAAAAGATCTCTTGGTTACAGAAATTGTAGGTTCCAATAGATCGAGTTATTGGGATAATTAATGTACCAAATTGGAATGTCTCAAAAGAAGAAAAAAATGTAGTCCAAAAAGGTATGTATGCAAAAGCTCCATAATAGTTAATTTTTTGAGATGTGAAGAAACTAAACTATATGTTGATGATGTATTACCAAATTATAAAGATATTCGCAGAAATAATTATCATATTCAAATAATAAATAATTAATATTGCATCGGAAATATGCCATCAGAGATCATTTATTTAACTAGAGAAATTTTTACTATACGTATATTAGTACTACGTGTAGATATGAAAGTCTAAACCATAAGTTTACAATAACTTTATATTTTGTCACGTCCGATCAGATCATCCCAGATAAAAATGCGAAAAATGATTGAAATATCATATGCAAATCAAGTGAGAATTTAGAGAATTCATCAATAAAATGATTGATTATGGTGGCGTGCATGCTCTCGAGAAAAATATACTCACTTGTGAAAGTAATTGAATCTATTGAGATTTTATGAAAGTGTATGCAGAAAAATACACTCATCATGTGATCATATAGAAAATTTTACGATTTTGATTGACGCATCAAGTATATGGTCACATATGTCTTTATTATCAACCCAACATGGTGTTTGTGAGATTAGTTGTTGAATATTATGGATATAATTTATTATATTCAATTACTTTTTTGTGAGGTGGAAATTCGTAAATGATTTATTTTTATTATTTATTATTTTTAATAGCCACATCATCATTTTATTAGTCAAACATAACCGTTGACCGCCACATTGAATAGATTTAACGGAACTAGACGACAAGTAACCACGACATAAATGTGTAGTGTTGATGGTTAAATTGAAGAAAAATGGTTTGAATGGTAAACATGTAACAAACATGTAATATGAGTGACCAAACTAACAATTCGTCCATTTTTTTAAGTATTATCTTCTGAAACGGACTTAATAGTTTAAGATGGAATTGTTTTTACTTCGTCAAATAGTATGCGATTTTAAATGTTTTGTGTTATAGTTGTTAGGTTGATGTCGAGATCAGATACTGATATTGAGCATCTCAGTGGAGAAGTTAGATTCAAGTCAAAAGGGACCGTAGCCCCTCAAATTCAAAATATAGGTAAAATTAGATGTAAATTTTGTAATAAATTCAGAAAATAGAGTAACCGGTAATACTTTAATCTCCCTCCATCAATTACCTATCTTCAAGTCAATTCTCCTTATTCATATTCCTGACACCGTTGATTGAACACTAGAGTGCAAAGACTCGTTAATTTTTTTTTGCATTATCGGGAGGCCGAGGCCGAGAAAAAGAAACGATTACATTGGAGAGAGGGGAGAGTGGGCTGTCACCCGACGAGGGTGGGTAACTCCCATAACATCGTCTCGGAGAATCGACATCACACCTGGAGGTGGGTTCCCCAGCTCATGCATACCGTAGGGATAGACGAGACTGTGCTTCGAGAGCCAGTCCGCGACTCTATTCCCTTCTCGGTATGTATGAGTAAGGCGAACCAACCAGTTCCGACTGAGCTTCCTGCGAATAGCTGCAAGGAGAGTGGCATACGGATGTACCGGATCATGTCTCGAGTTGATAAGTTGCAAGGCCAGCTGGGAATCCGTCTCAACCTGAAGGGCTCGACAATCATGGTTCCAAGCCAAGTCCAGGCCATACATGAGGGCCCAAAGCTCGGCGTGAGCGGCAGTGGTGCTCTCGACATTTGCCACATAACCTGCGATCCAATGCCCCATCGAGTCTCGGATGACTCCGCCCGCACCCGCAGGACCCGGATTACCATTAGAGGCGCCATCAACATTGAGAGTGTACCAACCTGCAGCCGGGGGGGACCATCCGATATCTGCCATAAACCTGTTCGCCGGACGAGTTCTGTTGCTGGGGAGGGAGGGAGGTGCCTCCCACGCGTCGTACCAAAGCTTAATCCTAGCAATGATGGAGTGCTCGAGAGAGGGCGGGGAGAGAGCAGCACCCGGCCCCTGCAAACAGTAGGTACATCGGTTCTTCCAAAGCAGCCAAATGGAAGTGCCAAAAAAAGCTGCCCACGTTACACCAGACTCCAAGGAGTGAGTACTCATCAAATTGGAGCAGAGCCACTCTTCCTGATCGGCGCTGAAGAAGGAGTGTTGCATGGCGCCAGGGACGTGGCGGGTCCAGAAAAAGAGAGCCGGTGGGCAATCTCTTAATAAATGCAGAATTGATTCCGGCACCTCAGTACAGCGCTGGCAGAACGGATTGGGTGCGATCTTCCTTGAGAAGCAGAAGGAGTTCGTGGGAATCCTGCCCCTGCACACGAGCCAATTGAAGCTTCGAACCCTCTCCGGAACCGGGAGCTGCCAAATAGTCTTCCACAACTTCTCATTCGGGTCCGCCTGCTGCTGATTGATGAGGGTGTAGGCTGATTTCGTAGAGAATCTCCCGTCAGAGGCGGCGTGCCAAAAGAGCGTATCCTCCTCCGTTGAGAGGGTGTCGACAGCTACACTGAGAATCTTCTGGACAATGTCACCAGGCAGAGCTTCGCTAAACAGGTCCGTGCGCCAGCTACCGTCGCTCCTTACGAAGTCCGCCACAACCGCGTGCTCCAGCTCCTCCGGAATCTGCTCAAGAGCTACCTCCTTCAAAGCAACCTGCAAAACCCATGGATCAGACCAAAACTTAGTGCTTTTCCCATTCTTAATGTTCCAAGCGCTGCCCTTTCTCAAGAGATCAGCAGCTTTCGTAAAGCTGCTCCAGGTAAAGGAACTTCCCTTAGTGTGACGGAGGAGCTCCAGATTCTCTCGCCGTCTTCCGTACTTGGCTCGCATGACCTGGCCCCACAGATTATCTTTCTCGGTGATGAGACGCCATCCCCCCTTCGCCAGCATCGCCAAATTAGCCTGCCTGGTCGGGCGGAGGCCAACTCCCCCTTGGCATTTACGTTGGGTCATCTTTTCCCAAGCTACCAAGTGGAGTTTGGCCTTATTGTCCTCATCGCCCCAAACAAAATCCCTGTTCACTTTATCGATACTATTGCACACACCAACCGGAATTAGCTCAGTATTCATATTATAAACAGGGATAGAGGCAGATACCGACTTCGCGACTGTTAACCGGGCTGCAAAAGACAGGCGTTTGGCTTTCCAAGGCGCAAGCTTCTTCTGGATGCGAAGGAGAAGGGATTGATATCTCTCTTTAGTAACACGCCCATGGATCGCAGGGATGCCCAAGTACTTTCCCAGGTTGGCCTTCAAAGGAATGCCCGCCTGTTGGCTCAGGTGGTTCGCCTTAAGATGGCCAATGTTGGGGGAGACATACAGGATGGACTTCTGGTAATTCACCTTCTGTCCCGAGCTAGAGCAAAAGTCGTCCAAGCAGCGTTTCATGACTCTGATCTGTCTCGTCTCTGCCTCTGCAAAAAGAAGAAGGTCATCTGCAAAAAAGAGGTGAGTGAGAGGAGGACCGTTGCTCGACAGCCTGATGGCTTTCCAATGCCCCTTAGCAAAAGACTCATCAATTAGGTGAGAAAGACGCTCCATGCACAGAACAAAAAGATAGGGTGAAAGAGGGTCTCCCTGACGAACTCCCCGGGTTGGGACAATGGGCTGCGAGAGCTGGCCATTCCACAAGATGCGCATCTGGTTCTGCTCGACGCAATGCATAATACCGCTAATCCAAGTGCTGGGTAACCCCACTTCTTTCAGAGTATCCCGGAGAAAGTCCCACCGCAGCCTGTCATAAGCTTTCTCCAGATCTATCTTGAGGACTATCCCACCTTTCTTACCCCTTCTTTTATGCAAAGAGTGGAGGACTTCCTGAACCACGATGATATTGTCCGTCGTCTGCCTCCCCGGGATAAAGCTACTCTGACGAGGAGACACCAGCTTCCTCATAAGAGGCTTCAGTCTGCTAGTTAAGGCCTTGGTGATAGTCTTCAGACTGACGTTGTTGAGGGAGATAGGTCTAAGCTGGGACACCTTCTCTGGCCTCTCCACTTTGGGGATGAGCACTAGAGTGGAATCCGACACCGCTTCAGGGAGAAAACCTGTCTCAAAAAACTTAATCACCATGTCAGTAAGACTTTTCCCAACAAAATTCCAAAGCTGCTGGTAGAAGACCGCCTGGTAGCCATCTGGTCCGGGAGCTTGAAAAGGCTTCATGTCGAAAACAGCTTTGTGGACATCCAAGATGGTGAAAGGGCGAAGAAGCGTGAGCATATCCTCCTGATCGATGTGGGGGAAGGAATTCTTGGGCAGCCTGTCTTCGTAAGGGCTCATATCCTGCGTACAGAGGTTAGCAAAGAAATCGAAGACCAAGCCAGCCAGGGTATGGGGGTCAGTCACCCAGTTATCATTGTCATCTCGGAGAGCTTCGATTTAATTGAACACGAGAGTGCAAAGACAGAGTTGTGGGAATTTAATTTTCAAGCTTACATGATTGAATACTCGGATGACTTTGTTGAGAGTATTATAATCAATCAACGAGTTATAACATTTATCAATTCTTAAAATGGATAATTTAACACAGTGACTAGGTTGATTATGCGAAAGGTGAATAGAGGGAATGGGTTAG